CTTTGTTAGTTCATATAACTCTGCCAAGCCCTCTGTTTCATTGCATGCTCATTGAACACGTTTGTGCATAACATTGTTCCCAGTTTCTCTGTTTTTCCATGCACAAATAGAAGGCACTCAACCCTTGCTCCCTGGTTAAAACCTCAACTGAAACCAAACACGGATCTGAATACGCCTCGGTGAAAGGAGAGCAGTTTGCATATTTCCAGGCTCTCCTATCAAGAAGAACTTCTACTGTGTTCTGTACAGCATCAGAATGTGTTTCATGTTGAATGTCTGGGCTCGTCATTCATAATGTTTTATACTAGTGTTGACGTCAATAACTGACCCCTGGTTAAGGCTATCCTGGTTAATTACCCATAATGCAATAGTACCAACCAGAACCAAGATTGGTGTCACTAACTTTAGGACCACACAATCTGTTCTAAGATGGACTAGTCTGTTCTACACTGCAAAAACAATCCAGAAATAAGTAAAAAATGGCTTAAATTAAGTATATTTAGCCTTAATTTGAGCAGGTAAATAAGATGATTTGCCAATGGAATGAGTATTTTCACTCTTAAAATAAGATAGTTAGATAATATTTACTTGAAATAAGACGATAAAATAGTTTTTTCTTATTTTAAAAGGAAATTGTCTTGTTCCATTGGCAAAGTGTCTTACTTACCTCCTCAAATCAAGGAAAAACACACTTATTTTAAGAAAAAATAACTTATTGAGATTTATATTTTTTGCAGTGTACAGCTTAGCCTTTTCCACTAACAGAATAAAGTGTCTTCTTGTTGGGTTTTAGAGGAGGCCTATGACTTGGCTGTCACAAACTCATCTGAATAAATGATTCATGACTTTGAGGTGAGGAGCTGCAGAGGCATTGCTCATCTCACAGCATGGTGAGTGATGAGACGTTAGAAAGATCAAATCAAACTCTGAACGAGGAGGGCAGAGTGAGAAGGAGAAGGATGGGTGGAGGTGGAATGGCTGTGACACCTAATGAGAAAGAGACAAACTTTTATACCATGAAAACCAATTTAGCTCCAGTCAGAGAATGAGTTGTGTTCCTGACACATCCTCTGTCAAGAGGAAACAACACCGTTGTCCAAACCGCTGACATGTTCTTTTTTTTTTGAACATCTTCATCCGAAACTGAACACAACAAGACAAGTTCAGAAAAAAAAAACATGTCAAAACATCTGAATTCTTCTGTCTGATGTCTGAGCTCTAACAATCCAATGTCTGCAGATCTATCACAAAATCAATAACACAAACTATTATAATATTTCTTCTAAATAACCAGAGGATTCAAACTCAGAACAATGTGTGTTTGAACAAAGGCAAGTCTGTGGTGCATAACAAACATGCTGGGGTGGCATAAGCGTGCAAGTGTTTTATGATGCAGCATTCAAACAGATAACTGCACCAAACTAGAAACCACAGAACTTCCTGTGGAAGCTGAGTTAGCATGCCAACTAGAGATGCCAAAAACACCAGTGCTGCATGTGGTGGCTAAACAGTAGCTGGTACAGGAAAAAACAGCCTGCTTTTTTTTTGTAGGGCTTAAATATCAAGTGTCAGCTATTCAGCAATCACAGCCTGAAAGCTACATCTGAAAGAAAAACAGTTGGTTTAAATAATGGTTCTGAGTTGTTGAGCTCTGTATAGGTAAAGATGGGTAGTTACATCATCTTTAGAAAGAGAACATTAGATACCTCCTAGCGCGGAGGTCTTCAACAGGGGGGTCCACGACCCCTAGGGGGTCCGCAGAGGTACTGCATGGGTGTCACGAAAGTTTGGGCTGATTAGTTTTTTTATATAACCCTCTGCAATTTTTTCCACTAATTGAAATGTCTTTAAATGGCTTTAAATACACATTAACATGAATTCAACACACTGTAGTAAACCTCCAGATAAATGGAGGCAGAAGATGTCTTTCAGTCATCAATGCACACAGAAAGCCTTTAGCTACAATATGCAGCTCCTTGTGCATGGAAGAAACTGGAAAATTGACTGAGTTTTTATCTTTAAATTCTTTTAAGTTTAAAGTACAAGAATTTGAAGCAGCCTCAATGATCTGTAATTGTTTTCCTTGATATGTTTTTTTTTGTTTTTCTTCTTTTCTTCTTCTTTTGTCATTTATTTTAATGTATCTATGTTGGTTTCGTAACTTTGCTGCCTCTTGGCCAGGAGGTTTTTAATCCCAATGGGATTTTTTTCCTGGTTAAAATAAAAAAATAATTTTATATATATATATATATATATATATATATATATATATATATATATATATATATATATATATATATATATATATATATATATATATATATATATATATATATATATATATAATTAGGAGGTCCCCAATCCATCTCGCCATCAATTTGAGGGTCCTTGGCCTGGAAAACATTGAAGATCCTTGTCCTAGAACACCAATCACGTGTGCTTTACATGTATAAATCAGCTTCCTCAGCTCATGAAGACATTAAAGCATCTCCTCCTCAATGCAGCAGACCATATTCACCAGCAAAAAAGGCTTTAATTAACCCATTCACTGAAAAGACAACTCTTGAGAATTTTCAGCTCCATAGTAAAAATGTGGCATAAGAGATATAAAAACTATCAGTTAATGCATTTTAGGGGTTAGGCTAAAAAAGCCTACCTGTTAAACCAAGCTGAGGTCATTGAAATAATTATTGTTCTCAGTCTCCAGAATCAATAAGATGAGGGAAGTTCTGACTTCCCAGTGGGGAACGGAGCGACCAAACCCAACCCAGTGACGGTAGCCTGGACACCGGTCATACCGGACATCAGGCCCCCTCCACCAGCTGAGGACGGGCGGCTCATTGCTCTCCAGTCAGCGGCCGAGCAGTCGACACTTCATATCGATATTCTTATATATTGATATCCTTCCACTTTATTCACTTTTTGGCAGCATTGTGGGAAAAAAAGTATTCCCAAACTATCACACACTATTCTTAGATGGAAAACTTTGAATCAATTTGACTGTGTGATCTGGTGAACTCTGAAGTGCCTTGAGATGACATGTGTTGTGAATTGGCGCTATAGAAATAAACTGAATTGAATTAAAAGTATTCAGCAATGGAATCCAGTTAAAGGAAATACAGTAGATGGTAGGGGTGTAAATCATTGATTTATTTCAAGTTTGAAATAAATCAATGAAAGCTGTAATATCATTATGCATTTTCTTTAGAAACAACAGCAAATAACAGAAGTAAACTCGTCCCCACTTCCTCATCGCCTCGGCCGTATCTAGACCCACAGCGTGTAGCTCAGACCACGCTTCAATACTGAGCATAATTTAAAAATGTCTGTGTGAAGCTTGCTGCAACACACTGCTGTAAGAGTATAACCAGGAAGCGCGGTATGAGAGCAAAAAAGGTTTAGCGGCATTGCAGCACGGGAGGATTACGCCCAGGAGCAAATGGATAAAAATAGACCGGAGAAAAAAAAAACATGAATCGATTATCTTGCGGACGTGTCGATGCATCGGATCGTCGGCTTTTGGATCGATGCATCGATACAAAACGATTATTATTTACACCCCTAGTAGATGGTAATTCTCTCATTTGCATTTTGTTAGTCTTCTCTGCTAAGAGAGAACAAGGAAACATGACAGTTTGATAGCTCAATGTTTTGCTCTGTTCTGGTTAGATAAAAGTTTCTCTCACTAACTTTAATCCTGCACGAAGGCTGTAAACGTTGTCAGGGCACAATTGATCAAAACAGCTATAGGAACCTAGGGAAAACAGTAAAATGTTATGAATAAAACCCAGAGAAAGAGTGATTATTATCCCTAACAAGTTTATCTTTGCATTTAACCCTTTCCCTTGAGGAGCAGTGGGCTCCCCTTGTGCAGCGCCTGGGGAGCATATACATCAAACTTTATATGTAAAGGGGTATTAATAGGATATATATTTTTCCCACCATAGGACAGACAAATTTTCCCTAAAAGGATAAACTAATCTTCAGTTCTCAGTGAAAGACTTGATAATTTTGACGCATCCCAACTTCAGGCTGCACAAAAGAGACAGCATTCAACCAAATCATAAAGGAGGGATTTCTTTCAGAATGTGAAAAGTTGCAATGATACGTAAACATAATAAAAATAGATCTAAACCTATAACTTATATTTTAGATTATATTACCAATGAGTAGAGGACAGATATGGGCCAAAACTTCTACCATGAGTCTAATGGTTACTGTACGTTTAGGGTTATTTTTGGAGTAATTACTGAAAAACAACAGAAGTCAATGGGAGTAAACACATGGTCCTCACTTCATTTAGCAAGACAAGAGACCGGGGGGGGTTGTCTCTTTGCATCTGTGTAGGTTTAATGACAGTAAGCTGTCATTTTTAACTTTGTTTTCTTTGTAGTTGCATTTTGTATCCATTTTAATACCTATGGACTAGAGATGCCAATTAGCCACATGCTTCAATCTGATACCATGCAACAAATGGCGACATTAATGTTTAAACTGTACATGATCTCTTTTTGCATAAAGTTTATACTTCCCTACTAAATTCATTATAGATAATGTTTATGTATTCTTCTATTTTTTCCTCTACAGAAGTCTAATATTTTCTTAAAGTTTAAACTTTGAAATGAGGAGGCTTATTAAGGTATTTGGTAAAATAGACAGGAAGAAGTAAAAGTGTTGATATTGTTTTCTCTTGTTCACTTTGTCAAAAAGGGAACATTTCGTGATTTGGTTAAGCTCCACCCACACAAATATTTATTTGAGTCACTTGAGGAAATTTTTACTTCCTCAGGTGCAGAGAGAAGATCCACATCTAACAGTCAGATTTACTTTAATCAAAGCAAACATGGAGAGAAATTGCTGAAGACTCATTAAAACTGAAAATCCTAAAACAGAAACTTATGCAGGTTGAAGAAACTACAAAAGGTAACCTGAGCATGAACATCCTGCAAAATTGAAATAGACTTCCCCTTTAATAATTTGTCCTCGATTTTTTCAGCTTCACTCAGAGACTGAATGGCTTCCAGGTTAGAGGAGGATCTCTGCTGTCCGGTCTGTCAGGACGTCTCTAAGGATCCAGTTGTTCTGACATGTAGCTACAGCTTCTGTATGGAGTGTGTTAAAAAGTTCTGGAAAGATAAACCAACTCGGGAGTGTCCAAATTGTCGAAGAATATCTTTCAGCAAAGATCCTCCAAGGAATTTGGTTTTGAAGAATCTATGTGAGTCCATCCGCAAAGAAAGAGCTTCAGAGGATCTCTGCAGTCTGCACTCTGAGAAACTCAGACTCTTCTGTCTGGACCATCAGCAGCCAGTGTGTCTCGTCTGCAGAGATTCCAAACTCCATAAAAGCCACAGCTTTACACCCATAGATGAAGCTGCACAGGATCACAGAGTGAATCTCTGTTCATCTCTAGAAACCATCAAGAAGAAGCTGGAGGTCAGGAAAAAAGTTCAAGAGGAGTTTGATCAGACAGCAGAACACATGAAGGTCCAGGCCCGACACACAGAGAGGCTGATTAAGGAGCAGTTTAAGAAGCTTCACCAGTTTCTAGCAGAGGAAGAGGAGGCCAGGCTGGCTGCACTGAGGGAGGAAGAGGAGCAGAAGAGAGGGATGATGAAGGAGAAGATGGAGGCTCTGAGCAGAGAGATAGCAGCTCTTTCAGACACAGTCAGAGCCACAGAGGAGGAGCTGAGAGCTGAAGACGTCTCATTCCTGCACAACTACAAGGCTGCAGTGGAAAGAGTCCAGCGCTGCCCCCTGCTGGAGGATCCACAGCTGCCCTCAGGAGCTCTGATAGACCAGGCCAAACATCTGGGCAACCTGGCCTTCAACATCTGGAGCAACATGAAGAACATGGTGTCCTACACTCCTCTCATCCTGGACCCAAACACTGCTCACCCATACCTTATCCTGTCTGAAGATCTGACCAGTTTGAGGGGAGGAGAAAAACAGGAGCTTCCAGACAATCCAAAGAGATTTGATAAAAGATGTTCTGTCCTGAGCTCTGAGGGCTTTACCTCAGGGAACCACAGCTGGAATGTTGATGTTGGAGACAGTGAAGTGTGGATGCTTGGCGTGTTAGCAGATTCTGTCCAGAGGAAGGGAGACATATGGTCTAGGTTGTGGGTCATATGGTTTATTCAAGGTAAATACACAACATGGTCACCACCAGCTGTTCCCAATGACCTTCATATCCAGAAGAAGCTCCAGAAGATCAAAGTCAAACTGGACATGAAGAAAGGAAGGCTTTCCTTCACAGATCTGGACACTGACACACAATTCCACAGCTTCAGACACCCTTTCTCTGAGAGAATGTTTCCATACTTTTATACTGACACTGGGATTAGTATCTTACCAATGAACATTTCAGTAACTAAACAGTAGTATTTTCTTCATGGAGAATAAATCACATTCAATCCTGAAAGCTGTTAATTAGTTTGATCCTCAGCTGTTTTTAAACAGAAAACTGAAAATGAATAATTCTGACCTTAATGCTTGTTTCTTCTTCTTTTTTTTTTTAGATATGCATAACAATTTGTGCTGATGCTACATTTTTTTGTTACTTTTAAACCTTAAACTGTATGTAACACAATAAAACAGCAGATCGTGTAAAAGAAGGCTGTGTTTTATTTCTAATAAATGTTCTGAATGTGAGTCTGAAGACAAAGCAGGTAGCAGAATTAAGTAATCTTCTTTTCCTCTTTTCCATCTATGATCATGCTAAGCTTAGACATATACATTTGATAATGAGATTGTTTTTGGGTAAATAATCATAATTTGAATTATAAATGTATCTATAAAATGCTTTTAATCATTTATAAAGTGCTTTCAAAATGTTTTATGGGTATATTGAACAAACATTAAGAATAAAAGGTAAATACATTTAAATAATCAATGAAACTCATGAAAAATAAAGGGGGAAAAATGGGTATTTAGTTTTAATAAAAAAAACATCTACAGAGCTGAGGAACGCTGCTCCTAGGTTTATATGTCCATAATGGAAATTCTGGATGACTAACGTTCTTTCCTGACATTAGGCACAAATAGAAGGACAGTTCCTTGAGAACAGATGGCCCAAGATGTTACATAAGAGATCATTTAAATAAATAAAGGACGGTGCAAGTCCATGAAGAATTTTCTAGACTTACAAGAGCATCGTGAAGCCGGTTAGAACCTGACGAGAAAGCCATTCAAGAGCAGCCAGCTCTTGATTCAGATAATAAGCTCATACGATCAGCAGTTTTGCACCATCTGAAGAGCTCTGACACATTTTTTACCCAGTCCTGACAGAAGGCCGTTGCAGTTTTCAAAGCAAGATGCAACAAAACCTGAAGAGGAACTTCAGCATCCTTCTAAAACTACATTTGCCTGATCTTAGTTATTCTTCTGAGATATAAAAAGTGCACGCAAGTAAACTCTGCAATGTGCTCGTCAAATACAATGTTTTCATCAAAAATAACAAGGTTTTGTTAGGACTTTATAAATATGGTTGTCTGAAGACAAAGACACAGCATCAAATAGATGATGCAGATTCTGTGTTAAAGGGGTGGTAAAGCGTAAACAGAAAGAGTAACTGTGGATGAGGTGTATTAAATCACATCCTGTTATGCTGTTGTACTTTGTCGATTTTGATTCTCTCCGTAGCACTACTTGATCTCTGCTACAGCATGAATTATGTGGTTTACACAACCTTTCAGTTTTTTTATGTGGTTTTAATCAGGCTATTAGCTTAGCATTTGCCTAGCATGACATGTACAGGCTTCCTTCAAGTCTGCATTAGGGCCAATACATTCTATGTAAGAAAAGAGCAATTCTCTTTTACAGAATAAGAGGGAAGATCTTTTTTGCCTGCAGAATTAGTTGGAAATCTACATAGGTCTCCCCAGCTGTGGGACACCATTTTCAATGGTACAGTACAAGAACAGAAACAACTTCTGACCAGAACACCTTATGAAAATTCCAAAAACATTCAATCTGAAAAACTCATACTGAGAGAAAAGACAATTAGAAGAAACGTATTGATATAATTAGTTGATACTGATGCTATGCATTATGTTACACTAATGCTTCAGTGTAGTTTTAATAAATTAACCATAATATATAAACTTCAAACACACACAGTTTTATAGATATTCCACATACTGTAGGTGGCTTTTACAAAAAAAAAAAAAACATATGCTGCTCATCCTAGAACCAAGTACAGGGTATGTCCTTTACAATTCCAGTTGTATATTTACAGGATGAATGTTTTGCAAAGCTGAAGGAGCACAGTCAAGGTTATCCTAAGTAGCATGATGACCCCCCCCCAGACCACCACCGTTTCTTATCTGTGCTATATTTTACATGTACATTTTAGATGCAGCTTAATATGTGAAAAACACACAGGTGGAGTTCAAGGTCCACAAAAAATAAAAACCTTGCCTTCTTTTCATTCATCCTGCTCCCTTAACCAAGTGTTTAGCTTTGTTGTGGAGCTGAAAATACACATTATTGGAACTAATGTCTATATAGCTTTTTTTTCTGGACCTGGATTATCCACCAAAAATCCTGAATGTTTACAAGGAATTCAAATGGTATTTGTATTTTCAATTTTCTGAAAATAAGAATCCAACCTTGGTTACAATTTTTGTTTTGATGTTGATAATAATAATTATATGGCTTACAGTAATATCCTTTACTAGTGGAAGCCTACCAATTCTGTTCAGGGTACCAACATCAAGGTCCTGTGCTCAGCCACTACTTTCTGAAATGTTGTTGTCATTAAGTGCTGATAGTGCCACATTTAATGCAGTTATAATCAAATAGAATAAAAAATATACCACTGGGCAGTCATTAGCCTAAGGCTTTTTAAATAATCTTTATTGCAGACAAATTAAATGCATTTTCCAAACAACAAAAATATACAGAAAAAGAAATACAAAAAATGCAGGTTTCACAAAAGGCTGAAACCTTCATTATATAACCCTAAACATATGAAGGTGTGTTCATTAACACGTGTCACAAAGAATATGTGCAGAAATATTTTCAGTTAACCCGTTAACTGGGACGTCTCATCTGCAGCACTTTCACAGTAGCCTAATAACCGCTGGTTGATTGTCAATCTGTCAAACTCAATATTTTCCTTAGATGAAATAAGCAGTGAATCCCATTTTGATTCATTTGAGTGATAAGAAATAAAAATTCTAAAAGTTAACTGTGAAAACTGGCTTTACCCTCTTAAGTTTTAGCATAAAATATTTCATACGGTTTACTTTCACTTTAGATTTCTGAATTATTTACACTGAAAACACAACTAGTTCTAATTCATTTAAATTAAAGTATGAGATGTGCTAAAAATGATAAAGAAAGGATTACTTAAGAATAAATGAAAAAGAAATAGTCTAAATATATGAATAAAATCCGAATCAGATTTAAACTTTAGTCTGAGTTCAGTTTTAATCAGATTGAAACTGCAGTCTGAGGAGTGGGGGTGATACTGGTTGGTTAAAGTTTGATGCACTAACCTGGAACACTTACACTCACCGGCCACTTTATTAGATACACCTGTCCAACTGCTCGTTAACACTTAATTTCTAAGCAGCAAATCACATGGCGGCAACTCAGTGCATTTAGGCACGTAGACATGGTCAAGACAATCTCCTGCAGTTCAAACCGAGCATCCGTATGGGGAAGAAAGGTGATTTGAGTGACTTTGAATGTGGCATGATTGTTGGTGCCAGAAGGGCTGGTCTGAGTATTTCAGAAACTGCTGATCTACTGGGATTTTCACGCACAACCATCTCTAGGGTTTACAGAGAATGGTCCGAAAAAGAAAAAACATCCAGTGAGTGGCAGTTCTGTGGGCGGAAATGCCTTGTTGATGCCAGAGGTCAGAGGAGAATGGCCAGACTGGTTCGAGCTGATAGAAGGGCAACAGTGACTCAAATAACCACCCGTTACAACCAAGGTGGGCAGAAGAGCATCTCTGAACGCACAGTACGTCGAACTTTGAGGCAGATGGGCTACAGCAGCAGAAGACCACACCAGGTGCCACTCCTTTCAGCTAAGAACAGGAAACTGAGGCTACAATTTGCACAAGCTCATCGAAATTGGACAATAGAAGATTGGAAAAACGTTTGCCTGGTCTGATGAGTCTCGATTTCTGCTGCGACATTCGGATGGTAGGGTCAGAATTTGGCCTACAACATGAAAGCATGGATCCATCCTGCCTTGTATCAACGGTTCAGGCTGGTGGTGGTGGTGTCATGGTGTGGGGAATATTTTCTTGGCACTCTTTGGGTCCCTTGGTACCAATTGAGCATCGTTGCAACGCCACAGCCTACCTGAGTATTGTTGCTGACCATGTCCATCCCTTTATGACCACAATGTACCCAACTTCTGATGGCTACTTTCAGCAGGATAATGCGCCATGTCATAAAGCTGGAATCATATCAGACTGGTTTCTTGAACATGACAATGAGTTCACTGTACTCAAAATGGCCTCCACAGTCACCAGATCTCAATCCAATAGAGCATCTTTGGGATGTGGTGGAACGGGAGATTTGCATCATGGATGTGCAGCCGACAAATCTGCGGCAACTTTGTGATGCAGATGTCAATATGGACCAAACTCCCTGAGGAATGCTTCCAGCACCTTGTTGAATCTATGCCACGAAGAATTGAGGCAGTTCTGAAGGCAAAAGGGGGTCCAACCCGTTACTAGCATGGGGTACCTAATAAAGTGGCCGGGTGAGTGTATATGCATACTTTTATCATCATGTAATGTGAATGTGAGCTCAACAATTTTTTTTCCTGATGTTCTCCATCTTCATGCTGTTACTCTGATCTTCCGTCTCACATTAATCCAGGGACAGTAAGTCTATGTCATAGCATCCATCAACCTGCAGGAAAACAAAACATGAAATGATTCCTCTTTTCCAAGACTTCTTGGAGATCAAACTACTGATAGGTATTTTATATGCTCTTAATTTCCCATCCAAAAAACGTATAGATTTTAGTACTGAAAGTGCTGCAGTGTAGCTCACTCTATAGCTTAATTTGCCCAAAGATGTTAAACTTCTTTAATCACATCTGTTCACATTCCATTTTCATGCTAATCATAAAGTGAGGTGCTGCTGTGCTGATCTACCCAGGTGTACACTATGGGGTACCTCCTAACTGATAACAGAAAGTATTCTTCAAAAGCTTTTTGAATTTATAAATCTGTTCATCCTACCAACAGACAGTTTAAATACTGGATGTTGCACACTGAACTGGGAATGAAGAACTCACATCAAAACGCCCAATGGTGGCTGTGGTTTGGTTGGTCTGCATCACTTCAGTCAAAGCCCACATCTGCTGGATGCTGGAGGAAACAGTCTGAGGGTCTAGGAGGCCCTGCAGCAGAAGACATAGCAGTTAAACTGAAGATCTATTCAGAAAATCTCAACATTTTACTTCCCATTATACATCATAATCTAAACTGAAACAACATTTTTAATTGTCTGTCATTTTTTTTTCGAATCAGTAGGTTTATTAAACCTGAATAGTAAGTAAATGATTAAGAAAATATCTATATATATTTTTTTTATTTAAACACACATTGTCACATTAAATTTGGAAATAAAGTATTTAAAAGGCGCAGCTTCCTTTAGGGACAGCTGGAGATAGGCACTGGCACCCCTTGCAAACCCACTTGGGAGTAAGTGTGTTAGAAAATGGATGGATGGATGGATGGATGGATGGATGGATGAACTTCCTTTAGGGAAGTAGTTCCCAAGGAGGCCCTGCACCCATTTATGAGGGTTTGTGGTACTGGAGATATGATTACATTTAAAGGGGAACGCCGGTTTATTTACATGTGGCCCTTGATTTTACGTTATTACATCATGTTCTACTCTCCCATATGAGTTTTGTGTCATTTGGAGTGTATGACGTCATCCGCACGCGTCGGCTACCGTTCATTCATCCTGTCCGCTGAACTGCTGCTAGTTTTCCTCACATGCCTGGAAGATGTCTAGTGCTACTATCACAGATGATCTCGCTCTCCAAATGGAATTGAACGATTCAGATTAGCTAGAATGAATAGAAGGGGTAGAACGTAGTCGCCTGTGGCCCAGGCTGCCTGTCACAACTCCAGTCTGGCGAATGGATGACGTCATACACGCTCCGCTTTGTTTTTAAAGGATATAAATATAAAAAAAATATAACCACGGGGACAGTGATTCGCCTACATGTTATGAATGCTGGCGTACCATAAAGAATAAATTATGAACAGTTTAGGTTGTGCCTTCAACTCGCTGCCCATAGGAAGACGTTACTTGGATATAACCTATCGAAATATCTTCAGAACAGCTCCAAATGACACAAAACTCATATGGGTGAGTAGAACATGATGTAATAAGGTAAAATCAAGGCACCAATGTGAAAAAAATCGGAGTTTCCCTTTAATTTTATTCATCTTTTTTGTCATGTACAGGATTTATCTTATGGCTATATGAAATGTTTTTGCTGCTGAATTTTCTTTGTTCAACTGTTGAAAAGGTTGTGTTTGGTGGGGAGGAATCTTCTAAACAAGGGATTCCCAAAATGCACACCCACCCCCTGAAGGGGGACTAGATGAAAAAATTAATGGCGATCTGATAATTACATAGTTACATTTATTTATCCACAGAATAAAGATCTACAAATAATAATGTCTTTTTAAAATTATAATCAAAAACTACAACTTTATTAAATAAAAATATATTCACACAAAAAATGTATTTATTTAGAATGAGTCTTCTTCTACAATTCATTTTAAGATGCAATATAGAAGAAGTTACCTTCTTATATGCCTGGTACTGTATATGCCACCTAGCTTTTTGTCTCTAGTTCAAATGAACAAACAGTCCAAGGTGCTAGAGTACAAGCATTGATGTGCATATCATGCCCAAACCGCTGCTGGGGAAGCAGATTGTCGACACGATTTCTTGACTATGCTCATGCACAGAGCTGTAATCCTTTTCAGGAGATAATTTGTTTGAGATAAGTGTGGTTAATTTTAAAAATGCCCATATTAAGACCGGACAAGGCGAAACCAGCAACCAGTGGTGGTCAGGGGTGAGTAGAGATGAGGTGTGTTGCCATAGACAGGTTTACCTACAGACAAAGCTTTCTAGATAGGTACTCAAAGGCTGTGAAATTCTCTGGAAATAAATTCTTATTTCTCTGATTAATTACAGCTTTATTAAGGTCTGCGCTCTCTAGCAAAGTCTCCATCTGTCATCATTGGACACAAATCAAGTTAAACTTCTTAGTGCTTCTATTTTCAGGCACAATTGAGTCTGATTAAGAATCTAGTAATAAGTAAATCAGAAACACACAGGCAGGTAGATTATCAGAGTTTAATCTGTGAATCCATCTTCAGAGCCATTTGAGGTCGTCTGTCCAGGTTTGACTGATCTGAGTCTGTCTTTACCTCGCTCCAGGCTGAGCCACAGCTGCACCTGAAAATCCTCAGGATCCCGCTGTGAATAATGTCTAACGTTATTACATTTTAATTCAAATTCAGTTCTAATTAGATTTCCATAACATTTGCTATGATAATAGGATTGTGTTATTGTAAATGTAGTTTTTTTTATTATGTTTGTTCTGGATATTTGGGGATATGATCAAAGACGCTGCCATTAACATGGCTATAAAAAAAGACTGTTGCATTTTGTTCTGTTCTTTTAAAAGCTGGGGTATTGGGGGTGCGTCAACTTGGTTTGGATACAGAAGAGGAAGTAAAATAAGGAGCCTGTGAACCCGCATCAAATATGTAAAATAAAAATCTAACTATTTATCGACACTTTGGAATCAAGTTTTTACCTCTACATCAGGGTGTTGATCAACAAGAGTAAGATCAGACAGCAAATCAGAGACCTCCTTCTCTGGCTCCTGCAGGAGATAAAATAAATATATAGGTTTCATACTGGCGACATCTAGTGGTCATAAAGAAGAACAACTTTGAATCTCTTATAAGATCACATCAATTTTTTCCACTATTTCCAAATACTAAGAGGAAAAATAAATGAAAGGCTGACCGGCTCCACTTGCGGGAATATTTTGATCTCTTCCAGGCTGAAGTTGAGCCAGCCGGAGGACGGCTGTCTTAGGATCAGCCTCACCGACACAACATGATCTGCCTCCACCAGCATCTGTAAGATCACAAGGGAACAAAAAAGGAGAAAATGAAAAGAAGCAGCAGGGTTGGTCCATCTTCCTTCTCTACAAAAATATAAACTATTTCCCCAGGGAGGGGAAGGTTTTAGATTTCTAAACATCCAAGTTACAGTGAATACAGAGATAGAAGTTGAATGAAATTTGTGAGAAAAGGACAAATCAGAGTTACTCACTAAAAGAGATGGTAGACTTAGGCTTAGACTCAATTTTATTTATCCCTTGGAATTATTCCTTCAGGGAAATTCTAGATCCAGTAGCTCATATACAAAGTACAAAGAGTACAAAGAGTTAAAGAATGATGCCGTTAAAGATAAAAATACAACAGACAATATAAAAAAAATATATATAGTACAAAAGTGCATAAAAAATGTTGGAATTGCCTGGAATATGTTTCCTTTAGATATAAAAATATCTGCACAGTAGAGAGCTAAGGAAAGACTACACATTAGTTGACCTGGATTACTGCACTCAATGCAGAGATGGACTGACCTTATAAATAGGTTAAAAAAATTACACAGGCTACCGGTGGCAGCTCTTGGAAAATGTACACAAAGTTTAAGTAATAACTAAAGTATGACAATAATAAAAATATGCAGAGGTAAATGGTCGGTGTTCATCGTGAGAAGGTTTGGACATTTTACAGTATTAATACAAGTTCTCAGGGTGAGTTCTGGGTCTCCTCCTATTATAATAACCCTAATAATTAGTAGGAGACCAGGATCACGTGTATCACATTTATCATAAGCTCACTACATTTGATAACACTTCTACATGTCCCTAAATCTAAACCCTCCAGCCTTTAAAGGAAGGTGATTTCATTCTCCACTATTTGAACCAACCTGGCTACTTGATAGTCGACTACCAGCATCTATCGTGTTGCTTAAGGCTTAAAGAGGCAGAGAGATTTACACCTTCAGCTAAAACCAAAGATTAAATTCTCATCTTTCCAAACAAACTTCATATTTTTTAAGTTTTTAAGGCGTCACAAAATTTGTTGTATCCCTATGGGAATAAACCATAAACCTATACATCTGAAAGAAAGTGACTGTTTCTGTCTTTGCATTATTAGTATCTGAATCCAGGCGGATGGACCATTTACCCGGGTGGCAAGAAGAACTCTTTGAACGAGTGACAAAAGGGTAGTTCTGCTGTAAAACTGGTGCTGTAGTAAAAACTGAGACCAATCAGGTAGCATTATGAATTAAAGGTTGTGTGATTCTTAGCGTTGCAAATTAAATGTTCTGACAGGCTCTGAAAAATATCAGGTACAAGTTTGAACATGATTAGTCAGTAGAAGTCAAACAGGTTTGAGCTCCTCCCTTTGTCCAACTCCCCTGAGGTGAAACAGGAAGCGGCTTGTAATTCTTATGACACAGAGACATGGATGATCAAGATCAGCTTAAGACTAAACCTCCTATTTCATCTTGAGGAGAGAATGGAGCCATGACTGACTGGACCTTTTGTGTTTTCAGCTTCACTCAGAGACTAAATGGCTTCCAGGTTAGAGGAGGATCTCTGCTGTCCGGTCTGTCAGGACGTCTTTAAGGATCCAGTTGTTCTGTCATGTAGTCACAGCTTCTGTAAGGAGTGTCTGAAGAACTGGTGGAGAGAGAAACCAGGGAAAGAGTGTCCAGTTTGTAAGAGGAGATCTTCAAGGGAATATCCACCATTCAATCTGGCTCTGAAGAACCTGTGTGAGACCTTCTTACAGCAGAGAGAGCAGAGAGCTTCAGAGGATCTCTGCAGTCTGCACTCTGAGAAACTCAGACTCTTCTGTCTGGACCATCAGCAGCCAGTGTGTCTCATCTGCAGAGATTCAGAGAAACACGCCGAGCACAGATTCAGACCCATCGATGAAGCTGCTCAGCAACACAAGAAGAAACTTCAGGAAACTCTGGAAGCTTTGAAGAAGAAGCTGGAGCTCAGGAAGAAAGTTCAAGAGGAGTTTGATCAGACAGCAGAACACATGAAGGTCCAGGCCAGACACACAGAGAGGCTGATTAAGGAGCAGTTTAAGAAGCTTAATCAGTTTCTAGCAGAGGAAGAGGAGGCCAGGCTGGCTGCACTGAGGGAGGAAGAGGAGCAGAAGAGAGGGATGATGAAGGAGAAGATGGAGGCTCTGAGCAGAGAGATAGCAGCTCTTTCAGACACAGTCAGAGCCACAGAGGAGGAGCTGAGAGCTGAAGACGTCTCATTCCTGCACAACTACAAGGCTGCAGTGGAAAGAGTCCAGCGCTGCCCCCTGCTGGAGGATCCACAGCTGCCCTCAGGAGCTCTGATAGACCAGGCCAAACATCTGGGCAACCTGGCCTTCAACATCTGGAGCAACATGAAGAACATGGTGTCCTACACTCCTCTCATCCTGGACCCAAACACTGCGCATCCAAAGCTTATTTTATCTGAAGATCTGACCAGTATGAGATCAGGAGTGAGACAGCAGCTTCCTGACAACCCGGAGAGGTTGGATATATGGTGGTCTGTCCTGAGTTCGGAGGGCTTCAACTCAGGAAATCACAGCTGGGATGTTGATGTTGGAGAGAGTCAGGTTTGGACACTCGGTGTGTTAGAAGAGTCTGTCAACAGGAGGCGGAACATCAAGTCTGGGCTATGGGGATTAATGCTTACAGAAGATCAGTTATCAGCTTGGTTACCAGGTTCATCAACAGTTCTCGTACCGAGGGAGCTCCAGAGGATCAGAGTGAATCTGGACTGGGACAGAGGAAAGCTGTCCTTCTCTGATCTGGCCACTAACACAAACATACACACCTTCACACACACCTTCAGTGACAAGATGTTTCCATATTTTTATACTTTAGATAAAGTGAAAATCTTACAACTCAAGATTCCAGTGAGAAAACAGAATCGCTGATTGGTTCTTTGAGAAGGGCTTCAAATGAGTGACTTTAAAGAAAAACATAGTGATATAATGAACCATTTACATCTCAGTCAGATCCGGTTCTGATCATGATGGAGCAAATAGATAACACTATTTTCATAAAACCCTTATGATTTCAACTAAAGAAGGTTTGATTTGTTACATTCCTGGCAGCAGGGGCAGGAATGGGCACCTAGAGAGGCAGCTGTGCCCGCCCTGGACTGGAAAGTGTTTATTTTGTGTGTCCAACTTGTTTAGCATTCCCATCTTTGATCTGTCAATCACACAATTCAACCAATCCAAACAAAAAGCATAGGTAACATGCATGCCGATTAAACACCGAGGGGGCGGGTCATAGAGGTGACAATCATCATTGTAGTAGGCGTGACATGAATATGCGGACTGTTTTCAAAGGTGCAGGTGGAACAAACAAGAGTGGGCAGGAAGCAGCGCGATTAATTTCTGTTGCCAATATCTGAAGCCAACAATGGAGTAAACATTCATGTTTGGAGAGTGTTGTGGGAAAAAGGTGTTCAATTCTACAGTCCAGTTCAATAAACAGAGATCGATAGATTTCACTGAGTCCGTATTTTATTTTACTTTAGAAAATAAAATGAGAACAAGAAAACATACAGCCCTCATTGCATGGTGTTCAGCCCTGTTCTACCTTGGCAGCGTTTGTCTTTCACTAATTAACACGGCAGAAAGGCTGTGAAGGTCTCCACAAATCTGTACCCAAAACAAAGAAATACAGTGTAGAAATAACACATACAGTAATGTTATGATATAATACCTAAAAACAAAAAGAGTCTAGATGCTTCAAGAGTCTAGATAGTTCATGGTATGTAATTCCTCTCTCTCTAACTCTCTGACCCCCCTTGCCAAAACCTGGGTTAGTTGAAGGCAGAAGGTTAACACCCTGATCTGGTCCTTATGCCCCTATAACTGAATCAATTGTTTTTATTCTCACTATGTCACCACAGGGTTCCCACAGCATAAGGCAAGTTAAATTCAAGACTTTTTAAGACTTTTTAATGCCACTTCAAATAAAAATGTAAGACCAAATTAACAAGAAATACAAGAAAAACCAGCTTGCGACAACTTACCCCAAAGGTTTATTATAACATAAACCACTGCACTAATGTTTCAAATTTTGAAAAGCTTCTCATACAGGAAGAAAGCTAAAAACACACAGATTACAGATATATTTGAACAATTATTTAACTTAATTCACAAACTTTGTTTTAGCAGGGAACAAAACAAATCAAATTTAAAGCCACAACATAACCAGTGCTAAGTCTTTTTTGCAGCTATTTTTCTTTGTGTCGTTTTCTTAGTATGTTTGATTTGGTGATAAGTGGAGGCGTTGCAGAGACAAGGGTGGAACAAAACTGAGAAATACCGGCTGTTTCTTGGTAACTCGATTTTGACGCTATATGTTTCGTGCTTCGCATGTGTGACTCCACTGCCTTAATTCCCATCGTTCTGAGCTTGAATGACTTCTTGCACAAAATCCACTGTGCCTCATGTATGTTCCCTGATTTTAGCCATGGAGAAAACTCTTGGCTGGATAGCCAATTTACTTACATTTATACTCGCTCATATTTTCCAGACAAAAATTTAATGGTGCATCTCCCAAATGTCCTGGCCGCAACAACGCTTTTATTGGTTCCACTATCGGGACGGAACCAATAATGGCGAGCCATTATTTTTTTTTTTATATAAAAAATAAGTCCACCTGAAAACTTCGTCTGAAAACTTCGTCAGTGCAGTTAGTTCATCCAGATTACCATCCTGCCTTCAAATATTATTTCTGTCAGAGCAACTCAGACCCCGGTGGTGTGTTGTCACCAAGAATCCCATTGAACATCAGCCTGTGGCCCGGTCGCCTTCTCGCAGTTTGCCGTGGTGGATGGAAGGCGTTTTTTATTTATGTAATCCAAACTGCATGCAACAGGATAATAAAAGCGAACATGTTTTGCCAGCAGACTTCGGCATTTTAAGTAAAATTAGGCGTTAATAAACTGTTTCAGAGGAGTGATCATAGCACTGTTCATCATCAGTGCTGCCTGTCTCCCTGCCAGCTCCGAGATCAGCTACATGTTGCTTCAGCTGCTCAGACGCACTCCAGTCAGCATGCGCGGTCATGTGTTTCGAAGGCGTGGTTTCGAGGGGTGGTCTGAAGGGAGAGGCATGGTTGTGTATGTTCAAAAATATAGCTTGCTGGAACCATTTTTCCAAGATCTCCTACAGCACCTTTAAGTAAGAGTAACACTACTTCATCATATTTTTACTCAAGTAAAAGTAAAAAGTAGCCTTTAAAAAAAATACTAAAGCAACAGTAAAAAAGCTGGGCTGGCTTAAACTATGTTTAGTTGTCTATTACTCAGCGTCAGAGAAGGCTTTAACAGAAAGAAGCTTTTCTCTACCCCCCAGCAAGTATCTGGAAAAACTTTTTCACTTTTTTTTTTCACTGCATCTTCACCAGGCTACGTGGTTTTCACGTGGTTAGGATGTGGGCTGCATCAGTGATGGTCTTAGCTGTACAGAAAAGCATGTATGCTTCTAGTTGAACTGGTTAATATGCTAAACGTGAACAAAGAACTTGTGACAGAATACCTAATCTTCTATTTTGCAACGTTTAGATGCAAAAAGGCATCTAAGTAAGAATGCATGGAACAACTGCAGGGCAGTGGTTCTGGTGGACTGGAGTTAAAGACTGCTAAAATAGGCCAATGAAACTTTATTAGAAGGATTTAAGCATCACCCCGGCTACATAGAATCCTGTAAAATTCTCTCCGAATTAGCTCTACAGTTTCTAGCTGTTAAATACACAAAATGCAGAGCAAACTGAATCAGTTCAGTAGTCTTTCAATTGGCTCTAGACGCAGCTCCTCATCTTTTCTGCTTTGCTAACAGAGGAAGCTCCCATTTTTATAAAAAAAACACCACTACAGAGAGCGCAAACATGATGTGAGCAATTTAAAAAGCCATGCGGGGCTGCAAATAAATGAAAGAATTTAATGCAAATTAACAGTTAATTTCACAAAAGATGATAAAGCTTTGGTAAGGAAGCCGAGATCGGTCATACTTGTTTCTTTCTTTTTCTTTAGCCTTCTCGGGTTAACGATATAACTATCTAATGGTGAGTAACTGGCCTTTGCGATGCATGGTGTCTGTTGAAGAGGGCATGCAATCATTTGTTACAGATGTGATGGATTAGAGACACTAGTTTGTAGTCAAGACCAAGACATTTAGAGGCCGAGACCAAGACCATATAAGGTCTACTGGACTCCAAATATGCAAATGTATCCTCTCAATAGTTTTAGATTTTACTATTAATTTATTTTGATAGCTTATTTAAATATGTATATTGGTGTTGTTTTAAACAACTCAGAGGTCTTCTAATCCAGGCCTGCAGAGCTACATTCACACAATTTATAGATGCATCCCTGCTCCAGCAAACCTGAATCAAAAAGGTTGGATCATTCGTAAACCTGAGGGTGTGCTGTAAAAATGACCATCATTTGATTTAGCTTCAAAAAGCTGCATAGCAGTAGCTCTAAATGGAATGTGAGACTTCTGAGTCAAAAGATCCATCCATCTATTACAGTAATTTTCTTCCACTTTATTCGGGGCCGGGTCGCGGAGGCAGCAAAAGATCCAAAAGATTATGTTATTCAAAGGCAGACACTGTGACTGACCTGCTTCCTGTGGATGGAGAAGTAGTCTTGGGACCCCGTCTCGGTGTGGGGGTTGTCCATCAGGAGCAGGTCTCGTAAAGCGGTGCACCATTTAGTTGGGCCATTCTGCCCTGCGGCCCTCCTCAACAAACGCACAGTAATGTAAGCAGTGTAGTAGTTTTTAAAGGTGATTTCCTCAATCTGGAACACAATCAGTGAATGATACAGTGAATTATAAACACTGAAGCAACAGCCTTCAGGCAGTGGTTTGAACCTACTGTTTAACAAACACTGAAGCAGCCAAACCTCAGCATTAAAATAGAAGAAAAAGAACTGCTGGACTTAATTCCTTTATGTTAAAATGTATTCCCATTACCACTCTTTGAAGCCTGAAGCTCTGAGTTAATGAGGACTCACTCTGCATCAAAAAAACAAGCTTTGCAATTACAACTACTTGCTATAAAATAGGTCAGGGCCTAAAAATTCCAACCTCCTCTGAGTACTGTAGAAACATGAGGTTCAGGTTCTGTTATATTCAAGTCTAACACGTAACCCAGTCAGTTGAAACCATAATTTGTGATGTTTTCACCACAGACAGAAAACCCATTTAATCTGTCCAATCAGATGTTGGTTTAGAGAAGGATGCATAATGTCAGGAGGGTTATCTCTGGGGTCCACATACTGGACAGCCGTGAGTTCCAGTATGTTAACCTTCACTGAGTGTTAGAAATGTCTCCATTTATTTTTGTATACTTGCCGTAAATTTCTGCCACGTCTTCTGGGCTTTTACGAACATCAGATTAAACAGACCTCCTTAACTTCCAGAAATGTTCGTAAAAATTATCCTTGTAAGTCTGATGCAGTCCACCTCTGCATCAGGGAACGTGCGTTCCTGAGAAATTTAATCTGCAAATACCACCCCAATAATTCCATATGGGGGTACATGTAAGTGGGAGGGCTACGATTTCCAGCACTTGGCGTAAAGTTTAATTCTTAGAAACGGCGCTGAAGACAAAGTAGAAAAACTCTACAGGTTTGGAAGTGTGGAAGTTCTGCTGACTTAGAGCTGGGCAGTAGAGTCAAATGACCAGTAAAAGCCATGCAGTGAAATAAATCAAAGCAGCTGTAAGTGCTATAGTTGCACCATCACAAAAGTAAAAAAAAAATAATAATAGATAAATAAATAACACAAAAGGAAAAACCATTTTATCCAAATACAGTAAATGAAAATTACTGATGGGGGAAAGATGTAAATGCTTAACGTGACTTTGCCATTAATAAACAAGAGATTCTGCAAAATATCCTTTAATACACACACACGCCTATGCTGTATATCTCCAGACCATGTCTATCATCCCTTCATCTAACTCAACATCTCCCTTGTGCATAAACATAAAAATGTTAATGGTGAAACTCTAATTTGATGAACTTTAAACCGATCAACAACCTTTACGTTGTGTGTTTTGACATCAATTTCTACTGAATCAGTTACAGTGCAAATGTGAGGGCTAGCCAAATCTTTTTTAATATTCACCATTTTTTAGAAATTTGGTGTGTAAACAGGCCCTTAAAATGTCTGTAATCTCTGAAGCTCTATTGCTCCTTTTCACCAAGACCAACTCAGAGCTCTTTGCTATGGGTCGACTCACTTTTTCAGCCTTTTTTCATTAGTAACAGTTACATGGAACCTTTGAGGATCACCTGCTTTTTAAAGATTCCAGCCCCATTGAGATGGTACTGAAACATAACTGAAAATGAATCAAAATGGGATAAACTAACCCGACCCAAATATTAGCAAAAATTAGCTACCGTATTAATGGGAAAAGGGCAGGAAATCTGATGAGTCAATCTAAAACAGAGAAAAGGACCAGATTGATTTTTCTTGACTCAGGACAAACGTCATCTTCTTTTAGCACATCTATTTCTTTTTGGGGTTTTTTTTTAACAGTGCAATGCTGGAAACTCATTCAAACATTGTAGAACAAACATGTACCATCCAACTCCATCTTACACTTGTCCTCCAGATCAACAGTGTGCGTTAAACTCAATTGATTACTACATACATTACCACACTTATTACAGCTTTGTTTTTACAGAAGAGTTAAAAAAAACAAAACAGGAATTGGTAAAAAGAGAGCGTTGTGTTAGTGACATCTGTGTGGACCATGTTTATCATATTTGAATATGTTCCCTGTTGTGTGGCTGACTTACATTGACTGGTTTTTCAAAGGGCAGGCTGACATCAACCACACAAACACCAGCTTTGGATGCTCCTATTTGAAAATATACCGGAGGTTTGACTATACAAGACACAGGCTGTCTGCCATCACTTATCTTGCTCATCTTCTGCAGAAAAACACAAAAGAACAAATTGATAAAACAAGAAGAACAGATAAACTTTCAGGTTTATACCAGGTTGGAATTAAACGTGTAATACTTATATCTAACCATCTGGTTTTCTCAGCTTCATTTTCCACATGAAAGTGGTTGACAGAATTTTTGCAGCTTAGATCCAAAACAGAAGTCCATTTCATAGTAATGGGAGGAAGGACAACTGGTGAACCAAAAAAAGGGTCACTGGGAGCCATTTATCATAAACGGGCTACAAAACTTAAGTCTAAGGACAAACAGACTTAAGTTTTTTTTTTTTTGGTGTTTTTTTAGGGGCTGTATCGCTGCAGGTTTTCCAGGGTGCCAAGAATTTCCAACAAATTTTAAACCTTGAGCATGGATAGTTGGATAAGAGAGGCTTATATAAAAAAAAAAAAAAAAAAAAAAAAAAAAATATATATATATATATATATATATATATATATATATATATATATATATATACTTTTTTTTGTTATAACACTAGGATACTAACAGGTTGGACAACATTATTCTAAGAAATCTTGGATGAAACCAGTTTGTGGGTGTACCTGTGAATTGTGTTACCTTGTTTTACTAAATAGACCCTTAATGGGCATTACTTTCCATAAGGACAGTGATCAATTGTCCTTATGCGTCTTATGTCACGTCTCAACATGTATTCTTTAGTACCATCTCAGCAGGTGTTACTGCCATGTTTGAAACCTTCACTTTATCTATTCATATTTTTAACACTGCATTACCTACACAAGCTGTACTCCACCTGCTTAATACTTTTTATATAAAAAAAATATTATCTGTAAACATCACAGCAAGGATGGGTATTCATCATACTATTTATTGTTATGATAATAATTTTAATTTTGATGTTTAAAACCTCCAAAATCTATCAAAATTGTATTATCTATTCCTTTTTTCCATTGGATGATTGGCAAATTCAAATAACATGATTAAAAGTTGGTACTGTGGTATAATGTGTTTACCGATATAAATCACTATTTATTTGACTAGTGTCCTGAAGAAGTCGATTGAAAAAAAAGTTTTATTTTTTCAAGAGCAGCTATGATTTCTGTGGCATGCAGTCACAGCAATAGACGAGCTATACCCGAGGAAGGCTGTGAATAGCTGAAAATAATTAAAATAAACAGACATGATAAAAGCTGTCCATGGTGCTGATAAGTTGTCAGCACCATGGACAGCAAACCCGTGAACTAAAACGCCATATTTAAAACAGACCGGACCAAACAGACTGATTCTAAGGAGCCGTATTTACCTTTCGTTTCCTAGGGAGTTTATTTTCAAAATTTTAGCTTTAACCTCATACCTACAGGGTTAGCACGGCGGCTAACAGGTGCTAAATGTTGCTAATGCATAGGGTTAGGACAGGATACATCGGTACAAAGTCGCTGACGTCGGTCTTTGCTCACCTTTCTTCGGTACACAAACAAATCTCAGATTCGACGAAAGAACAGTGGGAGCAGAAGGCACAGAAATTACCCAATATGATAATAACAGCTTGATAGTTTAACTGGTAGCGATATTTGGCGTTACTTCCTGACTTGTACGGGTAACCAAGGCGACGGTGAGCGTCTTAAAGGGCCAGCAGCCCTCAACCTAAACAGCGCGTCATGGAGAAAAATAGAGATTTCTGCATTAGGAGAAGCAAACGCAAATTTAGCATTTATAACATTAAGGTAAAATTGGTTATACAAGTCCCCTCCCTCTTTTTATTAGACAGCATTGACTTATACAGATTAAATAATTAAAAACCTCCCCAGGACGTTCATATGGCTGGTAAAATCATGACTTTTCAACACTATCTACTAAACCAGGGGTGGGCAATTCCCCTTCGTGAGGGCCGGTATCCTGTAACTTTAAGAAGTGCCTTTGGTTCAACACACCTGTATCAGGTAATCAAATGATTGAGAGCCTTTTGGGGGAGCTGAATTTATACTGAGGAGGTAATACAACCATTTGATTCAGGTGTGTTGGGCCAAGGATGGATCTAAAAGTTGCAGGATACCGGCCCCCAGGAACTGGAATTAGCCACCATTGCAACAGAGTATATCTTATTTTTTTAAAGGTTATTCCATGAAAACCAGTTGTTTTCCATTTTGTGACCCACACAAAAACACTGAAATTTGGTGATGATTGTAACACCATCATCAGTTCCAACAGCAGGAAACAGCAGTCTTGGAAAACTGTCATTTCTTGATCCAAATGTGTTGAGATAAAAATTATGTGATGAGAAAAAAATGTGATTCAGATGTTTAAGAGTCTTTTTATTCACCAAATATAATAGTTGTTTTGTATTCATGCAATATACACTATGTTTAAATGACCAGTTTAAGTTGAAACTAGTGCTTCTCCAGTGGAAAAAAGAAAGATAAATTAATTTAAAAATATGCACATTTCCTCAACTAATATCAAAGTAACAAAGCTAATACAGGTAGGTAACAGCTGAGAGGGGTGGGGCCATTATAATCTGAAAACCAATACTAAAAAGAAACCTAGTTAAATTTTTCTTCTGTCTCAGTTTGTCCATTTAATAGCTGATTCACTCTTTATCATAATTTCTAATGCATCAAAGATAGCAGTAGATGGCAGCATTGTTACATAGATCAGAATTGTGTCTGAGGAAGAAATCGACCATGTCCACAGTAAACACCTCATTCCCAATTTTTGAGCACATGGCTCAAGTGAGATATTTTTACTGGACTTAAAGTAACCCATAAAGAAACCTAATAGTTGATATCTTCTTTGACAATAAGATCCAGGTGGGCAGTGAAGTGGAGAAATCACACTCCATATTCAGCATTCAGGGGCAGAAAACTGTTATTTTTTTGGAGCCATGTAAAATAATCCCAGCAAGTAATTTAAAGGAAGTTTGAATGTTAGATACAACAAGCAAAGAACATCTGGTGCAGACTACAGTATCTGGATGTCAAAAGAGCTACTTAGGTCAGAATAAACCTTAAACACCATAAGCTTAGGTAGTATAAAGCAAACAAAGACTGTTAAAGGAGATGTTTCTCAGAAACCCACTCAAAGATTTAATATTTGCAAATAAAAAACCCACAAGTTCATAGTATATTCATCTTCTATGCTTGGCTTGTCGCTGCGCCTACATATATTCTTTGGGAGTATCACACTTCTCCAAGCAGATAAAAGGTCTGCTGTAACCTCATCTTTTGTCCTACTGAAGTCATCTCTGCTTGGCTGCAATAAGCAGAGCTGGAAAAGTAGTAAGGTTCTTTCCACCAAGTATTTAGATAAATGTTAGGGATGATACAGTGAGATATCAGGGCTTTAGATGCAGACCTGAAAAGTTTTGAAGACCACTAAATATATATATTCTGGGACTCCCTAAATAGAACAGATCAGTGAAGTATCAGTGTTTCTGAAACTCAGTTTGTCTTTGTGATCCAATAAAACATATTTATGGTAGACACTGCTTTAAAATCCAGAATTGTTGGTAATTTTTACCAATTTATAATTGTAGATCCTGACTAAAACAACACTTTGGATTACCCCTCTCAATATATATTTTTGCCTAAATTACCTGCAATGTCCCTATTTAAGCTCCAGCCAATCAACTTCTTCTCCGAAGCTGATCATTTTTTAAGATTCCCTTCATTTAGCTCCTGGCCTGGCTTCTTTCTGCTGCACGCAAGCCAACTTTCACCCACTTCAACCCCATCTCCTGCCTCATTCTCAGTCCCACTCACCCTCTGGCATATTCCACCACATTCACAGCATCAGTCTTTTTCCAGGGCCACGTTTTTTTCTGTTAAAACTGAGTTTTCCTCTCCACTGTCGCCACGTGTATGCTCAGTTCAAGGAATTGCAGAGAGTTAACCAGTCCTCGGAATCAGCTGCTATTCCTTATATAGATAGACTGTGTTCCCGGCATAAATAAGTTGAATGCTTTCCTAATTGCAGCTTTTCTCCATGTGACTCTCTTCAGGAAAGGTTAACTTTCCCCTCTGTCCTTGACATGTAGTAGAGATTTTAATTACCCTGAATCACCAAATGTTCACTAAAACGGAAAGTGGTCATTTAAAAAGTACATTTTATTACAAATGCAGGTAAAAGACAAAAAATAAAAGAAAAATCAGTGGACTTTTGTTGTGAAATATTTAAAAGATGTGTCTGTTTCCAGAGATGTGTCTGCCCCCCCCCCACAGACACACACCCAAACATTCACCAACTCTGCTAATTGTTTATAAAGCAGGCAGGTGGTCAGGCTTTTTAAAGCATCCAGATCACTGCACAGGAAGCTGGCAGTGTTTTGCCCAGAGTAGAAACAGTCACAATTTATCTCCAATGGTAACTGAAGATGAATGTGAAGAGAAAGACAAGGAGGCAGAACAGTCAGAGAAGGAGCGTAGAGGGCTGATTTGAGTGCAATCTTCAACATTGCGAGGTTGTTTTAAATTTCTGTTCTGGAAACCCCCTGCTATTGACAGGTTCTGTTTGGCTTCCTCACATTCAATCCTATTGCTACCCTTTGAGACATTTGCCTTTCCAAGCAGCTTCTATTTGTGTGATGGTGTCAGTGGTCCTGTGAAATGTTATCCAAACTACGTCAACATCCGATTTCTGTCTTGGTGGATGATAACTAATAACTAACAGAAACAGATTTCTTAAAAAAATATAGTGCTATGACATAAACAGAATTTTAACATCTCTAAGACACTAAAAAAGGGAGAAAATAAAGTAAGAGCTGATACATGATCTAATAGATATTTGATCTTTCAGGTAACTATCTGAGTTTTTTTGCTAAAACTGAAGTCTTATTTTTGGTCTGAACAGCTTTATTATCATAGGAATGTTTTAGAATACAGCTAAAACATGGAAATAAACATTTTCTTTGTTAAAGGAAGACAAAAATAGCTGTTAACCAATTTCCTCTTCCTCAGTTTTGGTACTGAGAAAGTGTTTAATAGGTAGGGCTGAGTTTATCTACAACAACAAATTATTAATATAAGCTTTTTGAAAAATTCTGCCTAATGGATTCCATAATTCTATCAGGAGCCTAAATTTAGAGCTAGAGTTAATGGAAACAGCTCAGATTTTTTTTTTTTTTTTACTCAAATTAGGAACAAGCCAGGAAAATGCATCAACTCTAGTATTTGCTCTAAGTCCGCAACCCAGGCAAAATCCATTAGGCATTCTGGGATACAGAGGATAAGGAAGGATGGAGTGAAAAGAGCAAGAAAGCATCATAATGCTGATGACATACTGCTTTTAAGGCTGATCAACTTACTGTCAGGGTGTAGTTGTGGGTTTGTTCACCAATGTGGAGAAAACCAGAGCAGAGCAACATGAATGAGGATACTTGTCATATATTAACAAAACAACGTACAGAGGTCGCAAGGTGGATGTCATGGAGCAGGCGGACAGACAATGGAGAACTAGGTGAAAAGTAGCCTATAACACTGGGGAACAATACATGGAAATAATGAAGAGGGGAAGGAGGAGAACACAGGTGCAAACATGAGGGAAACACAGGGGAAGTGAGCCTATTAATTACTGAAGGCTAACCGAGGGAGAAAAAAAATATATTCAAAAGTATAGGAACAATCATTAATTAAGGTAAAGGCAAAACCAACTCCAAAAAAATGAAAAGGGCTTCTGGGGGCATCCAACAAAATGTCAGAGCCACCTTAGCTGGCTCTACTCAATGTAGAACAGAAGCAGGTCCAAGCCACTCCTGGATCACCAAGCTCCTAACCCTATAGGGAGAGCCCTGCTACCCTGAGGAGAAAGCTCATTTCATCAACTAGCATCCAGGATCTTGTTCTTTCGGTCATTATTCAGATTTAATTTTAATAGGTGTGGGTAGGAACATAGACTGACGGGTAAATCAAGAGCCTTGCATTTCACTCCACTCAGCTCTCTCCTCACCACATTAGATCAGTGCATCATCTGCAGTACAGCAGCAGCTGCAACGATCCATCTATCGATCTCCTGCTCTATTCTCCCCTCACTCATAACCAGGACCCCAAGATACTTGAACTCCTCCACTTGTGGCAGGAACTGTTCTCCAAGCTGAAGGGGACAAGCCACCTGTTTGTAGTTAAGAATCATGACCTTGGATTTTGAAGAGCGGATTTTCATCCCAGCAACTTCACACTCAGCTGCCAACCTCCCCAGTACAAGCTGTGGGTCAAACAGGGGCCTGAAGAACCATGTAATCCATCCCCGTCCAGGCCTTGGCTTTGCATAGAAATCTTGTCTATAAAGGTTATGAACAGGACAGAGGACAACCATGTTGGAGTACAACAGCTCTAACTTAATGTCGGCAATACGACCCAAACTCCTGCTCTGCTTGTACACAGACCAGAGAAACCCTCGTAAAGGGCCCTTCACTCCATAGTCCTGGAGCACCCCACACAGGAGACCACATTTTTGGTTGGGCAATCAATTGAACTCTCCTCTCCAGCACGTTGGCATCCTTTCTGGGAGGCTGAGAACTGTGATTTTCCTATAGTTGGAACAATTCTCTGATCCCTCTTCTTATTCAGGGGAACCACCCCATACTGTAAGTCCAGGGACACTGTCCCTGACCTCCATGTT